AAGGTGTTGGGTCAACTGTGATTATGGACACTTCCCAACACAGGATGATGTTTCTGTATACGATCATGGGCAACATTGTTGTAATTAGAGTAAAGACTTTGAAAGTTGTTCCTCCACATCAGAGCCTGATTGTTGCTCCGTAGCAACGTGAGAGGACTACATTGCTTACCGAGAACAGTAAGTTCAATAATTTTTGCGGCAACATATCTTCGAAATATGCAATTTTTCGTTATATTTTATGGAATGTAAAACAACATGTCTTCCGAGAAAGATATCCGTACTTAGTTTTAAGATTAGTGGAGCTAACCATTGAACCAATGGAGCTATGAATGTGAAATTTTGCAAGCAGAAATATCGTAAACGTGACTACAAATTCTGTATAAAATATATTTTATTCGTCAATTACTACAAACATGGCGAGAGTGCGAATCTTTGAGCTTACAACGAACAAATTTAACGAAAGGCAGCGAAATCTGTACTGGTGTAAAAGATGCAAAAAAAAAAAAGTATCAATAAATTGTATGATTAGTAATTCTTATTTCATGTTAGTCTCGATATATAAATCGGAGAATTCGAAGGAAGAGTCTCCATAATTTCTTCCCATCAATTCTTACCTTCAGCAAAGAATTTGTGAAAACTGAAGTAACATTAAAATAATTATACATTAAGTTCCTCCTGTTAGTATCACACTGTCTATACTACAGCGAATTGAATCACTTAACCTTTGAAAGAATTTCCCAAAGACATTTTTCACTTCCTTCACTTAGCACAATCAGGGCCCGATTTACAGTTGTGGGGTCCGAGAGGAAATCGAAATGTGGGGGCCCATATTGGTAAAAACAAATTCAGGTTATGAATTTTTTCTATTTTATTATAACTGAAAAAGAAAACTTTCAGTGGTGTTAAGGATCCAAATGTCTAAATAAAATCTAAGGATTCTGTTTCTGTTTTGTGGAGGCTCCGGGGCTACCGCCCCCCGTTGCTGCCCCTTCAATCCGGCCTTGAGTACAAATTACTAAACGTCAATGCAACGTCCCCGACGTCTGCCATTCACGTAAAACAACGGTGAACAATGACACGCGTGCGTTATTCAGTGGAATCTTTTGCTAACTAACTGAATCTCTGTATATGGAAGCTTGAGACACGTCGATCAGGGTGGTCCGTCAGTTTCTGATATGCGGGCCCTAAATCTACTGTAATTACATCAAGCGAATGCGAATTTCTAATTTGTCTCAAAAACAAAGCAGTTCCAGAACAAAGGTCTGAGGGACACGTAACAGAGTACAATATCATGAGGATATGCATCACGTCACGAAGCAATTTTAGAAGCATGGATATAAAACCCACGTGTTCTAGACGTCATCAAACAGAGGTGAATATCACTTTCATGCTTCCACCGCTTTAATTCCAGAAGAAAACGTTTGTTACTAATAAGATCGCAGTCTTAAGTGAGTCTCAGAAACGGTCCAACGTTATGACTCACAGAAACATTTCTGCTGCGCTACTGTAAGTGACATCCCCGTCGACCGAACCACAGCCAATCATTTTACCGACTGAGCTTTGCGGGTTGGTGGAAAATAATCAAGAAATAAACGTCAGTATAGTTAAGAATATTCTTATACGATGCTTTTAATGACGTCAAACAGAATATAACGTTGTCTGTGCCTATGCACAGGTCATTGAGGCGTATTTGGGGTGAAGTACTCGTAAAATTAAATTTTCATGCTTGAAGTCGGAAGGTCGCGGGTTCAAGTCCCGATGAGGTCATTGGATTTTTTCATTTTGACCTAATCCATCCAGCCGCATTATGGCCCTGGGGTCGACTCAGCCTCTAACAGAAATGAGTACCTGGAGTTAAATAAAATAAATAAATAATTTTCCTGGGGAGTAAACTGCGGCCAGCGCGTAAGGCTGACAACCTTACCGCCATCTTTGAGCCGATTGTCAAGATAATGTGGGACCCTCAACGTCTCACAACCCTATGGGCCTTCACGGCCGGGTACAGGGATAGCTTTACTTTTTTTTACTTTACTTTAGTTTGTACATTGTACAATCAGAATGCTTAAATCAGGGAGATGGGGAAGTCAGGAACAAAACAAAAAATGCATGACAAATTGTTCTGTACACATCATTCCTTGAAGTGAAAGGCCGTTGGGGGAACCCTATTAAAATAGATTTTTCAGAAAATGATTGTGAGGCACAGGGCAGAGTCCAACAGAGAGTCATTAATCTACAAATCTCCAAAACAGGGAATCTATGGGATGGCTTAATTTTGCTACTATTTCACAGAAGGCTCTGTGGAGGGTTCTGTTTAATTAATTTTGTTGATTAATTCTGTAATGTGATTCTGAAATGTGTTTATTTATTTATTTATTTATTTATGGTTTATTTAACAATGCTGTCAGTAGCTCAGACAATATAGTGGTGAATGTTAGGATGTTATATTTTAGCGTCCTGTTGCACTGATTTATGTCCATGATTTATTCTGACTGTCTTACAGTGCATACATTTATTCACCTTACTCTTCTCTCTTGCACTACATGTTTCAGCACTAAAGTGCCATCTTCAGGTGCTTTTCATGTATGTCAAACTACTTCATGTCTATAGTGCTGCAGTGGCCACTTCTGCAGCACTATAGACATAGGGCGAGTACCCCGAGGAATTTTAATTCTTAAAATTTGGGGGAAAAAAAAAAATTAGAGACATCTTAATTTGAATTGAAGTTTTAAAAAGTGCCAATTTTGGAAATCAAATTGACGTGTGTAGGTTAACAAAGATTTTATACATACATACAATTGGAAAGACTGGTGTTTTAAATTTTAAACTATGGGCAGCATAGCAGCTACGTAAGAATATACACCTGATGATGGCCATTTAGGGCCGAAACATGTAGTGTAGAGGAAGGAAAGAAGAAAGAACTACAATTAAATTGTTGCACTTAAGACGGAGTTTGTCTCCTGTATTGTGTGAGTGTAACAGGATGCTTAAATATAATATTTGAAGTATATATTGTATTTTGAGTTCTTAATGAATTTCATACATAGTACACCTCTTACGTGAGTATTAACTATGCACTTTTTATTCTAATTCATTTATGGTCAATTTTACTTACGGGTATAAATACGTTTTTGAGAGTAGGCTAACTCACTAAGTATTATATTCACCTGAGAGAAAACCATCTTGTGTAAATGTGTAAAATAAAACATATTAATGTGTCTCACACAATATTTACTATTTTTTAGAAAATCACTAATACAAGAACAACATCTACTGGGGATGTTTCATTAGACGTGATGACTAACTTCCTGGGATTGCCATCCAGCTGATGTCAGTTCAGTTCTCACAGTGTATCCAGTGTATTCTGTATGTACACAGAATGCATAACCAAAATGTACTGTATGCCATCAGAAGGACTTTTCTATTATTACATAAAGTCAAAGAAGAATATATCTTCAAGCATTAGCAATATATTTCAGCAGTCGATAAAACAATGGATGTGGAAACTGAGAAGCTTGAGCTAACAGTGATTTCAATTTGCTTCTTTAGAGTCTTGTTTATCCCACTCACTTGGAATACATTTTCATTCACCATACCTCACCTGACACCTTGTATCTTGATGGCTCTTCCAACATACATGAGAAATTTACTTTCTTCATTGACAGTGCAATGGGCTCTTGACTAAAAATCACAGACTCTGAGAGACATAATATATTTGATTCAGCTGGAATTGTCACTTATAACTGTAAACACATCCACATTTGTGAAAATTGGATGTGTGACCTAAAGGTGACACAAGAAACCTTGCAGCATGTGTGCTACTCCTTATATCTCTGTAACTGCAGAGTTCTTACTAATGTGTAACAGGGAGTAAGTACCATTCCATAAAGGTGCAGGGAGATTGGAGTAATGCTGTATGCATGGTTAACCTCAGTAGTTTATATTCTGCCTGGTTTAACACCTGCAAAAGAGACCCTGGTATACGATGGGGTACCCAAAAGAAACCAAACTAATTTTTTTATGGGCAGAGCTTTTGTAGTACCACATTTTGCAGCTATGAGCGCATAGAGCTAACATTCCTGAGTCGATAAGCCGACTACCGTTGCTTCAGAAGGTAAGGACTAGTTTCGGCAGAGTTTATAGTGACAACTGTTTTGTGTGATCGTCGTTTTTGCAATGGCTGATTTTAGTGAACAGCATGGGGTGGTGAAATTCTGCTTTTTGCTCGGGAAAAGTGGAACAGAAACTCTTGAAATGTTAAAAACGGCGTACAAGGATGATGCTAAGGGGAAAGCTCAAGTGTTTGAGTGGTTTTCCCGTTTCAAAAATGGTGAAATGTCAATTGATGACAAACCTCGTTCTGGTCTTCCTTCCTCAGCCCGAACACATGAAAATGTTGAAAAAATTCGTGAAATCATCAAGGAAGATCAACGACGGACCATTGAAGAAATTGTGGAGCTGTCGGGAGTGACTTGGAGCTCAGTTCAGCGAATTTTGACAGAAGATTTGGGAACAAAAAAGGTGGCTGCGAAATTCGTGCCACGACTGCTGACTGCTGAACAAAAACAAGGTTGCATGGAAGCATGCTGTGCTTTGAAAGAAGAGTCCCGAGTCCTCGAATGAAAAGAGACATGAAAGGAAAGTGTTTTGCTGATGTTGCTGAGGTGAAGGAAAAAACGACGGAGGCGCTGTCAAGCATCTCAAAAGATGAATTTAGACAATGTTTTGAAAAATGGAATAAAAGACTAGACAAGTGTATTAGTGTAAGTGGAGAGTACTTTGAAGGGGATTGAAGGTTTGTGCTTAAAATTTGAATAAATAAGTTTAAAAAAAATAAGTTCGGTTTCTTTTGGGTACCCCCTCGTACACCGGATAGGAAAAGCCAGTACAGGCATGGTGTTAAAAGAGCACATTTCCTTTCCCTACTAGGAGCTGACTCCAGTCATCCAGCCCATAAAAAGATATTTTTCTCATTCATAATAGAGTATAATAATGAACTTAAATTACCTGTTCAAAGAAATAATTTATTTTCCATGTACAAATTTTTTACATTCTCTGCAATAATACAGGAACCAAAATTAGGCCTATGAGAATATTTTGATCATACATACATACAGTCAAAATGTAAAATGTTAAATAAACTGACATTAAGATAAAAGTATTACAATAAAAGTTAGCATTTGCCTTTTGTGACTGCAACAAGATAACCTAACATAAAATCTAAGGGACAGATTCTAAATATATTATCTGCACTCTATGGTATATCTGTATAACAGAATTCTATAAAACAAAATACTGTATAGAATATATACATTATTTAATAATTATACTGCTAAATTCATCTTACAAATTCATCGTACAAATCCTTTAGTTTTTCAGCACAAATGATTCTTCCACCTTCAAAAACTACTTTCACACCAGCTCAAAGCACCAGGCTAATTTCCAATGCAACTGTTATAATTATATATAACAATTAATATAATAAGGCTTCTTCAGTTCTACTGCCATAGACTGCAACATCAATATTTTATGATGCACACAATGTCTGACTAGAAATTATTACTTCTGTGGTCCAAATTTTAAGAATGCAGAATGATCAGCAATCAAAGGCAGATCTACATAGGGCTGTCACCTCCCTGGTTTTACACCGAAGTCTCCAGAAATTGAATTTTGACTCCAGTCACATTTGCTTAAAATTGAGAAATCTCTGTATTATTGTGCCTCTTAAATTTTGTTGATTTTAAAAATCCTGTTAATGGAGATTGCAATGCACTATAACAAGCATACATTAAAGAAGCTGTAAACCAAGACAATTGCTTTTAACTACTGTTTCTGAATAATAAGAGAAATCTATAACAGCTTTTGTATGTGTGTAATAGAGGTTATATTCACATTTTTGTTACAATAAATGAACTTGGTGGCAAGTAAAGTTAAGAGGACATTCTTGGTTGTGTGTGTGTTGTCAGCATATAAAATTCCTCAACTACATAAACCTTGAGGGAAATCTAAAAAATTTGAGGTGGCAACCCTTCTTATACCATTTATGAGTTTTAGATGTAGATTTTGAAAATGACTCAGTAGTTAAACTACATTACTAACCATCTGCCAAGGAAGCTTCTTTCTGCACATGTGTCTCATTAAACGATGTCTGATAACAAAAATTAATGCATAGTCTGTGATTAAAACAGCACTGGTTTAATGTTCAAAATATCCTGCCTTGTTACTAATGCTTGTTGCTCCAAACTGCTAACAGACTAAACTAGGGTTCTGTGAGGTTCTTTAATATCAGGTCAGCCATTCAGAGGTGAGGGTATTTGAGCCTGGGGTATGTTACATCAACATGTTTATATAGATAATGTTTATTATAAATAAACTAACTTGGAAATATTATCAGCAATTCCATTTGGAAACTAAGCATATTTTACTTGAAATTTTTTAAATATTAATCTACCATCAAAGTGAAGATATAAACTGAAATATAAGGCAATTAAAGGCTGTGAAACAATCTGAAAAGTACCACGAGTTTTCAAAACGTTTCATTTTCTGTAATGTTAGCACATTTGTCTGAAATATTACTGGTGGATAATGTACCCAACAGAAAGATATTAACTGTCATTATACGTGGACAACTTAAACAAAGCAGTAACAATTCTAATGCTACCTTAAGAATTTTGTAAGGATACTGTGACTGGCTTCAGATTTGAGGTTTTTCGCAGCAGTGAAAATTTATGTTGTCATCTTCTGGGTTGTGATACCACGTAGTCTTGAATGTGTTACTGCCTACAAAATTACAAACCATCTACAAGACTACAGTGTCATAACCCAGACCACCACAATCTATGAGTGGTTTGACAAAAACATATGCAACACACCCCTGCAAGCAGGTATCATTATACTGTTCCACATCAATCTAGTTTTCATGGTGGCACTATAATCTCGTAAAATGAGAGTTTATATTTCAGTAAGATATGTAACTGCAGAACAGTGCCAATTCAAGATGGTTATTGCTTATACAACCACAGCAACAAAACTTCAACACTAGTTCTCCTCAAACCCTCTTTAGTATACATACGTTCAGTTTCGAAAAGGTTCATCAGCAATTCACAAATCTTAATGTCACTAAAAGTTTGGGATTTGACTTGATGCATATTTAAAATGCTGTACACAAAGAAAGCTTGTTACTATGAGCCACTACTACTGGCCAACATACTATATACAAAGAACAAATAGAAGTGTAAGTATTCTTTTGCAGACAGAGGAAGAAAGAAAACATAATTAGGATGAGAGCAGGCTCAGATAATATACTCTACTGTGGAAACACTAAGAGGGTCATTTCTGTTGTCACAACATTATTTATGAACCGTTGCCTGGAGAATGACTGGAGGGTTAATTAGTTAAAAACAGACTGCCGTGTGTTTTAACTGAGGAATACTCGTACACTCTTCTGTCATTATGTCATCCATATATTATTAGAGTTTTTTAAACAAAATCAAATGTGCAGAAACTGATGAATGCTCTTTTTGTATATGTTACTTCATGAGTTGCTGTAACTCAGATGTAGGCTACATTAAATGTTAGCTGTGGAGTACAAATATGCAATGTACAGTCATGATGGTGACATAATATTTGAGACAGGCTACCAGTTCTTTAACGTGCACTAATGATCTAGATACTGGCAGCATCATGAAATTTAACATGTGCACATATTCATTAGTGAATTATTTTGCATGTTACAGAGTCACAAGGATTTGAGCTAATGTGAACCAGATTTAATATAAACTAGTTCATCTAATATGTTAGCTACTGATATTGTTCTTATCCAATGTGCACTTTAAACATCCACAGCAGTGCCACACTGCGTGCCATTGGCCTAGATATGCAATGGCATGTTCCAGATAATGACCTCTACAAAGGCAGGTAGGGGGATCTTAACACACGACAGCCTCAGATATGGGATTTTCAGTAATGTTGATGGCAGAGGTGGACCAATAGGGGGGAGACGATATGCGAGTTTGATGTTTGCTAATCAAGTTTAGGCCATCCAAAGAAGTCTGGCGGAAAATTGCCATTTTGTTCTCAGTCAACGGCGCAACTGCAACAAAAATAAGTACACATCTACATCAGCAACTTTAGCACTTCAAACAAGCAAAGCTATATCTAGCATACATCAGCTTCACTCAGAATGAAGCAAAAGCATTAAAGTTAATTGCTGTTACTATATTTAAGCTAAAACAACTGTAATTTACTGTACACTCATCCCACAAGAAATGTTGTGTTATGATTTATAATTTAGATAATTAACTGTGTGCACATTTAATTGCAACTTCTATCAGTAGAGATTTTCTTTTAAGAAAATGTATCTGTTTATGTTATTGACTTTGCCCAGTGGTGCAGAAGTATTAATTTAGTTTAATAAAGTGCCACAGCAATAATTTTGCCTTATAACACTAATTTCTTTTTTAATTCGCTTAGTGGGGGGTGGAGTCCAACCGGGTCGACTCAGTACGGCGGCCACTGATTGGCCTATTGTAGCCTGCCCTGGGTGATTATGATGGAGAATTTGGTGGAATGAAGATTGGCAGGGGAAACTGAAGTACTTGGAGAAAACCTGCCCCAGAACCACTTTGTCCACCACAAATCCCACTTGACCAGATCCGGGATCGAACCCGAGCCGCCACGGTGGGAAGCCAGTGACTAACCGCTTCAGCGATGGCACGGCCTGACCCTTATAACACTAACATCAATTACCTAAACACAAAATAGGTCATATTATTAATAATAAAACCAATATAAATTTACTGTATTTACATAAATATAAGACAAACCTCAGCCTCCATATTAATCTCATGGAAATGCAATGTTTTACGAAGTCTAAAAAATCTGTACCCCTCAACCACAAAGCGTATAATAGCATCTCACAACTACATGCTGGAGCATGAAAGGCTCTGCTCAGTACCTACTTTTTCTCATTATCTGTTTTACAGATACACAGAGGATAAACACAAAGCAAGAAAAATTACCTCTCCGCACCATGGATAGCAACACACCAAAACAGAAAGTGATTTGCACTATTCATGACATAAACACTAATCCTAGAATTCTGATTTGTTAATGACTGAGAAGCTATCCATTCCTGAAATGCCAAGTCAGGAAAATCCTTATTCTACATCGGGTAAGTATGGCACATTAAACTAAATCCAATAGTCTGTTATTTAACTGAATACAAAACCTAAGAGTTTTCAGATTTTAAAATGGATTATGTTTTGTAATACATGTGAAAGACCAAGAGACTGTATTACTGAGAAAAAAGATGATGAATTCAGTATTTTATTGTGAAGGCATTTAAAAGCTCATCAACATCAATGGTTATACGTGCCTGGATAATAGTCAAGACAGATCATGTTTTATTAGTATAAAAGACAATTAAATAGAATTAAACATGTGTTAGACTGCAGAGTGGTGATGCAGGTTTGTCACAGCAGCAAGTGTACGAATGGAGTAGGAAGTTTGCAAATGGTGCGACTTCAGTGGAAGATGCTCCTCGTCCGGGTCAGGCACATCGAGTTGTAACTCCAGAGAACACTGCAGCAGTTGAAGCCATACTGAGGGAAAATTGCAGAGTGATACTGAATGAAATTGCAGCAAGTTTAAACATTAGTCATGGTTCAGCACACCACATTGTGCATGATGTGCTCCAGTTTCACAAAGTGTCTGCAAGATGGGTGCCACGGCAGCTGACTCCTGAATTGAAAGACCGACGTATTGATGCTTGTGAAGAACGTGAACGAGATGGTGATGACTTCCTTGCAAGAATCGTTACTGGGGACGAAACCTGGGTTCACTTCCACCAACCGGAAACAAAGAGAGCGAGCAAGGAATGGCGCCATTCCTCATCTCCAAAACCGAAGAAGTAACGAACACAACCATCAGCAGGGAAGGTTGTGCTGACTCTCTTTTGGGACAAAAAAGGCGTCATCTTTGAGCACTACATGCATAGAGGGACCACTGTCACCAGTGCATCATACTCAGATCTCCTAAAAAATCATCTTCGGCCTGCAATCAATCAAAACGACGTGGATTGCTGTTCACAGGTATCCTTTTGTAACATGACAATGCAAGGCTCCATACTGCCTGTACAACAGTTGCGACAATCATTGACCTGCATTTTGAGTGTCTTCCTCATCCGGCATACTCACCAGACCTTGCCCCAAGTGATTTCCATGTGTTTGGACCACTCAAAGAAGCAATGGGAGGAAAGACGTTCCATTCTGATGAAAAGGTACGCCACGCGGTGCACAACTGGTTGCGCAGACTACCAAAAGAATTTTTTCTAAAGGAATTCATGCACTTTGTAAGCGCTGGAGGACTTGCATTGAGCGTGAGAGAGATTATGTTGAAAAGTGATACAGCTTTGTGCCATTGTGCACAATAAATAACACTCAAAAATATATTTAAGGTTTTCATTTGACTCGCCTACGTATTTTTAAAATCTTAATCTTACACTTCCTTATTGTAGTACAAAGACATGCTTATACTAATCCAGAAAGTGTCAACAGTGAATATAAGTTATGTAATAATTTTCTACTAGTTCAAAATAATGATTTAATTTAAATTAAATTAAATTTGTATTATTAATCTACTTTTACACAAGGGCACATTATTTGAAAAGTTCTATCAGCTGGTACTTAACAGCATTTAGTGCACTGAAAGTTAACTGATGTGTTGGAAAACAAATTGCCTCCTCTTCAGGGTTGAAGAATAAACCAAGCAGGAAACCAGCATGAAGCAGGTCTTACTACCTTACTTTGGCTTCTTCTTCAACCCTGAACATTGGGGTGACATGTTCCTCCAATACACTAACTGATTTTTCAACACTCTACATGGCGTTATATCCTAGAGGACAGAGCCCTTCATAACCACAGCTGTGAAAACCTCAAATCCAGCACATTAACGGTTTCAGTGTTTCATTGATTTATTACAAATATTAAAAGTTAAATACTATCATATTGTTATGTGCAAAATTTTCTGACACAAAAGATACAAAATATCCTTGCAGATCTGATCATCTGTGGTACTTCATATGAATTTATCTCCCCATGGCTAATTAAATCAAAGTACAACTAACTGTGCAAAAACTGTATGTTACACTAGTAGAATATGATTGTATTAGAGTAATTCCTTTGATTAATAACATAAAACCTGAGTCTTTTTATTAATATCAATGTTTTACTCAAATCGTAACAAGCATACTTATTGTATTAAATTGGTATAAAGAAATAAAATGTGCATCACTATGTGTGAAATTACAACATCTTGTATGTGTGGTTAAATGATAACAATAATATAATGCAATGTATCACATTAAGATTCCATTTTGCAATAGCAATATGACAACAGACACAGCAGCTATAATGTCAGACTTGAGGCTCTTGTGGCCATGACTACAAACGTGTTGTTTTCTGAGATGTAACACTATAGTATTGTAAAAGTCTCCCTGACATTTTGGAGAACATATGACTCCACCTGCAGGGTCAAAGAGTAAACCAAGCAAGCAAGCAAGCAAGAAGCAAGCAGGGTATTCTGCTTGCCGATTACTCCTGGCTTGTTGCTTGTTCGACATACTCTTTGACCATGCAGATTCAGGCAGTACATTCATTCAAAATATCAGGAAAATTCTACCAGACTACATGGCATCACAGCCCAGGGGACGGTACTCTTCATGGTAGCTACAAGTACATAATCAGACTATACGTACGGATGGTTAGAACACATATGACTTGCAAGAATACTTATTGCTCAGCTTACGTGGACATGCAACTGACATCAAGATTATTAGTAACAATTATTACCACTTCAGTTTTGGACAAAAAGGAAAGGGACCTAATGAACAAGAATTAAATGAATAGAAACTGAAAGAGTATTTTTAAAATTCAAAGGATGTTCATGATATCCCACATTCTTCACAACATGTACACATCATCATGCATTTCTGTTGTTAGTACATTAAAGGTTGTCACTATTCACCATCAAGCATTTTTCAGTACATTAAAGGTTGTCACTATTCACCATCAAGCATTTTTCAAACTGTCACAAAACCAGTTCATGATCCTAGGTACTGCAATTTTCTGTGTCAGTCTGCAAAACAAATATAAATTGATTTTTGTTTGATCTTATAGAAATATATGTATTTTATATGGTTGGTTGTAAGCCTGATATTCTCTGTTTTATTGGGGCTGGTGTGAGTGGGACTCTGGTCTGATACCTGTGGTGATCTATTTTTCACATCTTTACTTTCATTTGTAGACAGATAAGATTAATTTTATTCAGTGTTTAGTATGTCCTCTTTTGGAATTAGATTTTAGTAGATAATTTCAGCTATATCTGCCTCTATGCTGGAGACTCCATTTAATATCAAGATGTGCCAGAACAGCAGTTATCTTTGGAAACAGAAAATGTATGAATGTGCCCCCCCCCCCACCGAGAAGCTTGTAGTAATGATGTTCAAGCCAAATACTTTGTGGTGAGTGCTGAATATTCAGCTTTCTAGATATCCCATAAATATTTTATTGTGAAGATTAAGGAATTCTGAAGCCCCCAAAAAAATAGTTCCAATAGCTTATTTTAAAAATATCAATCGTAACCACATTGAAATATGCATCTTTCCTCACTAACATTTTCAGTAATAATGACTCAAGAACTCTCATCAAAGAACATGACAGTAATACCAATCCAAGGTTCCATTTCTGTACATGTCTATGTTATTAGTTCATCTTCTTATTTCACCTCCTTTATATTTACCAACATTTGCTTCCACAGCTTTTTTTTTTTAATCTTTAACAACCAGATACTTTGGTTTAAATGTAATGCAATTACAAAGTAACATGTGTATAGATATTGGTCTTGTTAAAGGAAAATTCATTACTAAGTTTCAGTACCACATCATGAAGGCCTTGGTCTTGGGTAAATGTGAGAGGCCAGCTTCATGCTCTGGCAGACCATTTACTGGAGAGGAGGTTAGGTGGGTCCCATAGCTGGTCTGGATGCAGTGGCAAAGAGATGAAGTTCTTCCTGTCTTTGTTCATTATTATATTAGGTTGAGGGGAGGGTGGCAACATTACAAAGCACCACACAAACAATCATGCTACATGTAGGACATAAACCAGAAACCCAAGAAACCAAGAGTGATATCACTCACATATTTTACTGATACTACATCAAGTAATTCTGGACCTCTACAAGGATATCCAATTTAATGGACATGAATTCAATTTCTGAAACTATCTGTATTCATTAACTGTTTACCTCCATTCCATCGCATAATTCATGCACTACAGGGATGTCTTAGGTCTGATTATGAGAAGAATGCAAGAAAAAATCAAGTAGAAATTAAGTACTTTCTCATGGCATATCTTTGCTTTTGAAGATCTTTGTCAGTCATCCTAAATAACAGCAGCAGCAATTTAGACATAAAAAACACTAATAATTTTTTAGTGAACCATGTTTTATTATGAACTATTCTTTCACTTCTTGTTTACAAATATAAGCTTATATACATATATTCATCATGCGAGCAATTCTCGTTTGGATAATAGGAACATAGAAGTATATTCCATGGAGTGCACAGTGCCTTAGCTATCTTGCATAACATACCTGAATGGCCTAGACCTTCACCTACTGTGGATACAAACATCCTGTTGCAAAGCTAATCACATTTTACAAATCATAAGGCAGAGTCAGAAATTATATTCATTGTGCTTCATTAGGCATACATCATTAAAATAATATTTCCAATTAAACCTGTCGCTCTTCAAGAGATCTACATTTTATAATAGGTACTAATTTTTCAGACTATGAGCCATTCCTGAGAAACATGACAGAATTTAATTCTTATAAATTGGGATTATATGTGATCAATATGAATCAAAATGAAATCCATCTGGCAAGTTTAGTGTAGATTTCCTGCATTCGATTTCTCTGAAGCTCACTAAGTAGCGCTGAAGATGACAAATGTGGATGCATAGGACATCTTTCCAATCATTTATTCATTTTCTTCACTTTGTGCAAATCACACATTAACTACTTAATACTTCTCCATGAGAAACTGGTATACAGAACTTTGTCAATTATTCTTGCACGTTTAATATAAATCAATATTTAAAATTATTCTGAAAATACTAGACACAAATTTATGAATATTATAAGTCATTTTAATTTACAAGCATAATTGAAAGAACTCCAATCCATCAAGTGATATATACACTCATATTTCTCTACACTTCTGTTTAGGATCACATTTAGATCACTGTATGGTATTTTTTAATATACATGAATTATTAATATGTTACTAACCTTCCTTCAGAGCCATTTTAAGCAAAACACTCAGCAACAGTAAAAGGTGCAAATGCTACCACAGGCTCAGAAGTTACAAAAATACAATAAGCTGCAAAGTGCAAGTGAAATATTGAATAGAGTTAATGCAAGCAACAAACACATGTTGATAAGGAGGATGCATCATAAACCAGACCAGATGGAAGCAGACATACAACAAAGTCCAAACAGAGCACTTATGCTAACACTTACACTGATCAACCAAGAATTTTGGGAAGTGCACGCAATCTTGGTTTATCCATACACACTGTTTTGTTAATTACATTTACCTTCTGCCGATGTAGATGTTGACCGTTTCCGCGAAAGTTTCACAGCTTTAAAGAAAACAGAAAGAAAAGAAAAATATGTGCATAAACTATTTAAGGAACTTGACAACCAAGGTAAAAAGCAACACACAATATTTGGTGTGGGTTCTAATACTATACAGCTAGAAAAATGAGAAGAGTAAAAAAGTTACATATGAAATTAAAAGCTAATTACTAGAAATGCATAATTAATAAGCAGTCTTGCACATAATTTATAGTAATACAACACTTCTAATATTATCTGAAACTGGTTTATTAAATTTATATTAATATGCATTATATGTTATAATGTGTTTAATACATACCAAAGTCATTCTCCCAAATCGGTAACAATGAAAATAAAGTTTTGAAACAATGCCAATCAGTGCTGAAGTAACCTGTTATCTAACTAGTTTTGTAAAGACATATGACACTCAAAATGTACATTAAATGTAAACAGTGCAGGTTTATCAATGATTGTTTTAAGATGTCTGAAAATAAACACTAAAAAGCTCACTTTCTAACTAGCTAGTACAATTCACAAGCTATTACAAGGGATTTGTTGAAATAATACGCACAATTCCATCTGCAGTTGAACTGCTGGTCTTGAAGCATTCTGCTTGCAACAGTAACATTATGATTATCATCATAACTCTACAGCAATAGTAAACAAGGCTTCAAGCCACAACAGGTAAATCTGAATATTTTAAGCTCTATAGAGAACGCGAACAACACACAATGTGGTACTGTGTTTCAATGTGATGCAAGAAGCATGTGCTTATAAGCATCTCTTCTTCAGATGATCACTTACCATAACCCTGTCCTTGAAGGAACAGGCGGAACGCCTCACTGACTTTTCCTGGTTGTTCCTCCAAAACCATACCACAATCCTGAATCTGTGAAAAATCCACAAACTTGTAGTTATATCTTCAGAAATTATTTTATTTGAAGACATGAGATGAGATATCAATGGGTACTAATTTAATACGTTTGCCAAACTATAATGTGCACTTTTCTCCTCTAGAGACATTTTTAAAAACTGACTGGACATTCAGTCTTCATTTACTAATAGCTATCAGACAGATGATACTGTAAATTTATATGAATAGGAGATAACTTTTCAAGGGAATGAACATACATTTATCAACTTCTGAGTCGATTTCTAATGTTTATTAGTAGAACTTAAGTTTGTTCTTATCATTATCTGTAGACCTGTCAAACTGCCAGGAAAGAACAATATACAAAATTCCTAAAACCACCCATGTAGCTAAATATGAAGAAGAAACATTTTCTGTGTTTAAACCCATGTAGTTAGAGGAAACTTCAAACGAACAGGGTATGCTATGTAAAATTTGTAACTAAGTGACTTAAGGGTAATTCATTCTAGAATATAAAGTTACCAGGGTTACCACATTTACCATGTTCAGCCAAGAAGAATATGTATACAAATAAATAAATAAATAAATGTAAGAATAAAAGAAAGGAGGACGAAGTGAGTGCTATATGTAAAAAATAAACAAGTAAGTAAACAAAAATATAAATATAACTTCTTTAATAACACCATCACAACACAACTAGATCAATAAATACGAGTAAGTAATAATACACTATATCTTCAATACCAAAATCAATTGTTGATTATAACAAAATTTAATACTATTACTTTCATGTCATTTTCAGATTAACATTACTATTACTAAATCTATATCACGAGCCTCCAATAACAGTTTTTATACACAAAATATAGAATACTCTAATTTGTCCATGGGAATGAAACAAAATCATAAAAACCAACGACTGACTTGATGATGTAAAGCATCAATCAAAGAATTTTATTCTTGTTTTATACTATAACTTTTGTTTTATATACTCTAATTTATTTTATTTTTATGTCAAGTATTTTAATATAATTAATATTATTGTATCCAATTTTATTAATACTGCAGTTCAGTGGTGTATATATGTTAGCCATGTATTTGCTTGGTGATGGCTATTAATAGCTGAAACATGTAGCAGAGCCAAAACCAGGCACTGACCTTGATATAGTTGTTTTGTGATGGTCTTAATAAAGAAGTTATATATTATAACACAACAGGGTGCATGAAATGAAAATTAAAAAATATAAATACATACATACATAAACAAAGAAAGAAATATAAGAGTATGAGTAAATGAACAAAGGAAGGGTCTGAGAGCTACAAACAATGTGACAGTACTCTGTCTCTACTGTTTTACAACAGACACGCTGCCGTTCAAAGAAGCATATGGGACTCAGCAATACGGTTTGTAGAACTTTGTAAGTCTTAGAAAACACATGGACTTGTAACATAAGTTTCTAGAGCAGTGTGTGAAACCAAAATTTTAATTTAATGGTGGCAAAGTTCAAACCAGTGACTTGGAAGTAGTATGTCATTTCAGTATAACAGAAGCAAATGTACACTGATGAAGCAGTTCAAACATGTTTATTTCAAGTTCTTCCTTCTTTAAGAATTTAGGTTTTGAGAAGATAGATATCTTACATTCAGGTCAATATCGCAATATCAGAATTTCTGTTAGAATTCTGAGCCACAGTTTGAATCCATTCGATGTTACTGTGATACTGTGATATTGTTCCAAAACCTAGGAGTAGGTGAATATAAGACACAGCATCTTTTTTTTTTTCTTTTTGGGCACAGCCAGTAGTATGGTGGTATTGACCCTGAACTCAATCTGTCACTGGAGTGTGGCAATGTTTATGATTAAAATTTGTTTTCCAAAAGTTTCCTGGTAATACAGAATAAACAGTAGCAGCTCCACAAGACCGTTAAAGTTCTAACAGCTTCAGTATATTCACTGCTATATATAAATGCAATTAAAAATAAGCATTGTAATTACAGAGATCTCAGGATTGACGGTTTCATATTTTGTGGTTATGGAAAACCAATCAATAAGGAGGGTTGAAAATGTTTACAAACTCTGATCTGTAAAGGACATATCCATTTTGCAAACAGCAGTCCCTCTCGATGATGAAAGACCAGGAGACAGCCAAACCATATTGAAAGAGGGTTCACAGTTTCTACAACTTTTCTTACATATTTAAGAACAGCTGATAAAAACATTACACTGAATACACATTCCAGTAACAATAAGGCAAATTTCCACAAACAGCAGCATTATAGAATGTTTTGTCATCAGATAATCTCAAACGATAACACCTAGCTTTGGGATAAGAACTGAAAAGAACAAAACAGAATGGTTCTAAAACATAACATAAAAAGTTACAATGAGACCTGTTTTCTTAATCTCTAGTATTTCAGATCAAATGCATCATAATAAAGTAAATACAAGGAAACCAGCATCTACCAACACAAGGCCCTCTGTATACACACATTCTGGGGTTCCCTGGAGCTTTTGCTTTTAACAGTGTGTGAAATCTGTGTGACACCAAACTTTCCAACCTTACTGTACTGCAGTTCCTTCAATGGGAAAAGCCAACAGCAGGAGAACCTAGCCTAGGGGAAGAGTTTCAGGTCCAAAGCCAATCAAATCCAGTCTGAAAGACACCATATCTGGTGATGTAAGCCACAAGAGAACACAACAGCAATCAGATTTTGGGATCCAGGACAGACTATAGAGATATAATCTGTACTAGAACTGCTGTAGTGTGGGCAATATAATCTGCTTAACTTTCAAAGCTTCAGAATGTAACTTCCTATGTGGCACTTGTATTCTGTACATTCATGAGACCTGTAGATACTGGTTTTGGCATACAAATGTTGAACTTCAAAATAGTCATTCTATCTCACCTTCATCCACGTGGAATTGGTTGGGTCAAGGCGTCCATTAAGGGTGACAGTATCATCTACATGTGGACTGAGGGCCCCTGTGATGTTCATGACAGGCATACTGAGTGTATGAGAATTCTTGCGTCTTGAAGGCTCCAGTTCACGAACAATATTCAGATCTGTTCGTCTGATATAGCTGTCGATGAAGAGTGCGAGGTTGGTGGGATTCACATGACGTTCAAAGTATGCCTTGTACACCTGAACCAGATCATGGTTCCTCTCCTCTGTGCCCTAAAAAACATATGACATCACAAGTTAAAGGCAACACATTAGTTTGCTGCAACAGGAAGTACCATTATATTAACTACAAATGTCTTACAACCTCTTTATTAACAACACAACAAATATCAAGGCCAATTTGTTGTGTTGTGATGGTTAATAAAGAGGTTGTATATTGTAACACAACAGGATGCATGAATTAAAAATTACAAATGTCTTAAATTAATATCTTAGACAACTCTATGAAACTTTTAAGTAAAACAGTGAGATATGGACATGGGACAATACAATGGAAGCAGAACAGACACGACAAAAATGAGAGTCTTGGCTCGATGATAATTAGGCAAAAAATACTTATATGCAAAGTATATTATAGTGTTCAGAGATGAGGTGATAAAATCATGCAGGTAGAATAGTTACAAACAGGTGACTGAAGATACCATGGAATTAAAACCTGCAAGGTCAAGAGTGAGAGTAGCAGAAGTAGATGGGTAGGGGGTGCGGTGGTGGTAGTAGTAAGGAAGAGGAATATGGACTTCTGGGTTGTAACGCAAGCAGTTCAGCACATGGCAAAAGTTCCAGAGGAACATTCACCTCCATTTTCAGGGTTGAAGAGTAACCAAAGCATGAAACCAGCCATGAAGCAGACAGCAAACAGAGCTGTGCCTGCAGTTTACTTCTTGCTGATTTCTTGCTTGGCTTACTCTTCGACCTTGAAGATGGAAACGATATGTTCCTCTGTAACGTTCGGTTTTCTCCAAACTAAACAGCATTACAACTCAGAAAACTATACTCTTCATAGTTGCTGCTGTGAGAACCTCATACGTAACAAGAAGAGCATTTTCTTCTTTTATTTTTCAACTGGCTACATTCAAAATATTGTGCCAGGTCCAGGAATAATAAACCATAGCGCTTGTGACTCTTGTGTGGTCCTTTCATTTGTGTAAATGACAATCCAATGTGAGAAACAGTTTTGTTACATCCTTTCCAATTCAGGTTAACAGGAACCAATACATTTTAGTGAGCAACAGACTTCTGAACAATGTAAACAAAGACTTCAACTAACATTAAATAAATTATTCTTTTTACCAGTTTATAGTGGAATCTTGTGGCACAAGAATAAACATTAACAAACTGCTAATGTGAGCAGAGTCCTTCTTGTTTATGCGGTATAGGGGTGCACTGTCTATGAGCCATGTTGGACAAAAAGACAAATAACATCCTAACCATACAGCTGTATGTTCATTACCTAAAAGTGTTAAGAGCCTAACAAAAAATATATTTGTATTCAATACATGCCTGTCTAAAACTAGTTGTGAACCTTTCCTCAGCAGCAAGCAGTATGGCAGGTCAGCTCATAACCCGAGTTTTTTAATGTCTATAAGGATTTAATTGTAGAACAAAGTAAAAGACAAACACATTTTGGAAGAAATGCATGATTTCTAAATGAATACATTACTATATGCTGATGATGTGACGGAGGGCAGAGTGTGAACTATAAGCTGTAATTTTTAAATAAAATGTCATGTAAATTCAAAAGCAAAATAATTACCTTTAAAATTAAAATACTAAACTTTAGTAGAACATCAAATAAAAATGATTCTGTAACAAATATTGTAAGCCACTTTCATTATCTTAGCTGCATTATGAATTCAATAAAGATGTCCATAGAGGGCTGCATAAATTCCAGCAAATATGTGACACTATAATAAAGACATCTGAAAAATAAAGCTCAGACCAAAATCAATTACAATTACAGAAGGTGACATCTGTCCCAACACTCCTCATTTGAAAGTTTGATTGTTAACAAACAGCTAAGAAATTTCACATGGTGGATTTGCATTCCATAATCTATTTAAACAAATTTACTTACTAGAATGCCAGGATGATGTGACTGCAAAAATGATTCTGGTATATTCTACAGTGAAGAAAGGATTGTACTACAGAGAAAAGTGGCTGCAATATGTATTGAGACCTGAAAGTTAATTTATAGGAGAATTCATTGGTTGTTAACTAACTAGTCTTATTAGAAGAGCAGGATGGCCTATTCCCAAAAGAACAAAGAGAAAGAGCATATACACATCATTCTGATGTCTGAAAATCAAGGGCATTGGTACTATGGTGATTGGGGGGGAGGTCAGGCAGCCCATGTTTAATTGTAAATACATGCACCAATTTTTACAGCTTATTTTTTATTTTCATTTCATACCTACCAATTTCTCATTACCAGTGCTTATAGATCTATGTCATCTCTTATTGTAATCAGGTTGCATATCTAATAATATTAACTATACAGCTTACCACTGCTGAGCAGTTGCAATTTTCATAAAATAAAAATGAAAAAAAGATTTTTACAACTTATATTATTGACATTGGACATGCAAGCACTTTTGTTGTGTTTAGAGTTGGCATTAGGTGGGATGCGAGGACATGAGGGTGTGATGTATCCTGCAGAAGAACCTGAACTCTTTAGGCTACCCCTAGGTTGCCAGAAACGTGGCTATACTAGTACTGTAAATATGATGTTTTTCACGTGTGCTATCATGACAGGAATTATTGCTGGTTTCTTCTCTATAAGTAATTGTACATATACAAGTGTTTATTTAAATTGTATAACAACTGCATTTTTAATAATATTTTTTCATTGTTCATCATGATGAATATTTATACTTTTTGTGCTTCTCTTGTAGGGTTTATTGTGAAAAGTATATTTGACCTTTATACTAAAGAACTCAATTTTTTTAATAAAAATACACTGTCCTATTGTGACAATATTTTACTTGTACCGAATTCACTAATTTGACAAGTACCCAACCATATTCAAATTATTATACAGGCTCTTGTTTCAATGCAATACACAGTCCCAGTAATGTTATATTTACCCGACCAAAATGATGCCACATGAGGTAGTCCAGCACTGCCTGGGTCATGCCTTTGGTTCTGAGGTGTCTTGCATTAAGCTTTTGGTAGCCCCATTCGATCCATCCAGCCTGAGTTGAAACACAATTGACGAGGCAAAGAGCTTCTACCTAAGAAAATCAAACATAACCAAGACCATGTTAACTGATCCACACATTAATAAAGCTAGAGAACCGACCATACACAGTTCACAATAACTGTTGCCCTCATAATGCATATCCCACTGAAACATGATTACATGCCTGAAGAAACTGGTGCCTTGCATGTCTGCACCTATTCAGACTTTCCTTCTTCGGAGCCTCTGAGTCAAACGAAATTCATACCATACCTAACCAGCATAAACTTATACAGTCCAGAGAAGAGGACACCCTCTCCAGGATACCAAGAAGCCTCCCTCCACAATTACAACCTCTGGATAGGTGTACCACTGGATTGATCTGGCTCAGGATAGGGACCAGTGGAGGGCTCTTGTGAACAAGGTAAACCTTCGGGTTCCATAAAATGCTGGGAAGTTCTTGAGTAGCTGCAGAATTGGTGGCTTCTCAAGAAGGGCTCAGCTCCATGAGTGAGTGAGTGAGTGAGTGAGTGCAAATACATCTTCCCATCTCTCTATTCTTCTTACTGACAGGTTCCCAACAACAGGTCTGCATTCATAATTTATTTCTTTCAACATAATATGCATGTTATAACTGCCCTAACAATAGCTGGGGAACTGTATATATTTCAAGGTTCCAATTCATGTAAAATCATTTCTCACTCACTTTTTGGTATAATATTTACTTTAGCATTTTTCACTCTTCTGAAAAGGGGATTCTTCCAGTTGACCACTCCTACTGGTCAAGACTTGGCTACATCTTCTCTCCTCCTCAAATGGATCTGACTGACCACCTTCTTCATCACCTGACTGACAATACAACCCAACCTATTCCTCACCCTACACACTATAACCCAGAAGATAAAAGTAGCATGTACACATTTCTCCAAAATGTCAGTTATCTGTACACAAGACTACATGGTGTCATAAGCAAGAAGATCAATATCTGAAAAATCATGAAAGTGGAAGACTAAAAAGTTTCATTTGTAATTTATGTTCAAAATTAGGAAGAATCCTTTAAACCATAAATCAAGCACTTTTATATATTCACGCGCCAAAAGTCAGGGGATAGGTACCTAGTATCATGTAGGACCCCTTCTAGCCCAGTGAAGCGCAGTCACTCAACATGGCATCGATTCCACAAGTGGATGGAAGACCTCTGGAGAGATGTTGAGCCATGCCATCTGGGTAGCCACACACATCTCCCTGGTATTTGTAGGTGCAGGATTTTGGGTATGAATGAACCTCTTCACCATGTCCCATAAATGCTTGACTGTGTTCCTGTCAGGGGAACATGGTGGCCACACCAATCATCATAATTCTCCAGACTGCTCCTCAAACCATTTCTGGATAATTTTGGCCCCGATGACACAGTGCATGTCCTGCTGGAATATCCCATCTTTGTGGAGGGGTACATGAAGTCCTTGAACGACCGCAAATGGTCACAACGGAGTGCAATGTAGGAATCAATGGTCAATGACATGTTTGGCAGACCACAGGACCCACACCAGTATGGAACCACCACCAGCCTCCATGGCGCCTTGTTGACAACTGGGGTCTGTGCCACACTCATAACCTACCATCTGCCAAAAACAACTGGTACCATGAGTCATCGGACCAGGCCACATGTTGCCAGTCCTCCAGGGTGCAATTAGTGACATCACAAGCCCAGGTAAGGCTCCCATATCCCATGGAAGCTAAAGAACGCTGTACTGACCTGCTGGATATGCGTCTGGTACCTCCTGCATTGAATGTGGATGTGATTTCAGCCAGTGTCGCTTGCCTGTTACCACAGACAATTCTAGCTAGATGCCTCTGGTCACGAATATTAAGCACCAATGGCTGACCACTGCGCTGTCCACAGTGAGTGGTAATGTCTTCCATGAGGTATTCCAGGTACACATGAGATACCGTGGATTGAGGAATGTTGAATGGCCGCACAACTTCGGAAATGGAATTTCCCATCCACCTGGCACCCACTATCCTGTCCCATTCAAATTCTGATAATTCACATCACCTTGCCATGAGCAGACTAGCTGGTGTTCAGCCTGACCCACAAGAGAACACGTCACAACTGATACAGGTCTGGGCATTCCCAAGCCATCTTGGGATGGTGGCACCACTTAACAATAAATCACATACTGCTATTCCACAACTTTTGGCACTTGAGTATATATTCCTGATGTTCGTTAAGCAAAAATATGATACTATACAGAATATCAGTACAGAAAAAAATGAATTTACATGCCAGTAGGCAAACTGGTCTAAAAATAGAGGTGGACACAACTAAGCAATGATTCTTTATAAAAAGAAAGGTATTGTAAGTGCTGACTGTTATGCAGAGAAGGACACCCTTCAAGATTCATAACAAAAAATTAAATCAAAAGATTTAAAATGGCAAACCTCATGTTTATCCATATTTAAATTTTTGTTACGGCTTTATTTTTAATAAGAGTATTTTAAATATTGTAGCAAATAGACACATTGCTAAGCAACGACTATGAGATAAGCAAATATTACAAGAGCTGTTACTAAGTAATGGCTTCTCAAACATGTTCCCGTGGAAATAATTGAACAGCAACAGAGCAACAGGGTTTTCCATGTGCTTGATGTTATAACCAGGACAGCTGGAGAAATGAGTTAGTTGTGGTATATCTGCCAGCTCATAAGGGCCTTAGCAGAAGACACTGTTCAAATTGGTTACCAGGAAGCAAAGAGTGAAGACATAGAAGACTTTATGTGTGCTGCAGTCACAGTGATCTTTAGAGTGTGTAAACCAGTGAGGCTATTATAGTTACTTGTAGCTATGAGTCATGTGTTAAAGTGTGCAATAAATCGAAGTAACCAACTCAAACCCTGTCAATAGTCACTCAATCACATGAAAGTATTTTACTTTAGCTTTATGAAAGAAAACAATAGAAAACACTTCTACTCACTACCAGGAAAAGAGACCTCACAGTGACTATGTTACGGAAAACACCACAGGCAAAATTCAAACCCACCAGAAGTCTACAGTGTACAGTGTAATGTAAAAATAATAGCTATTAGTGAAGCTTATAAACTGTATGTCAGTGTTTATTTCGAATCTGGGTGTCACATCTCTTATTGTATTGGAGAGGGTGGGTTTCCCCATGCACTTAGACCAACTGTTGGTCCATTGTGCATCCCCCTATGAGATTCTACCAGTCTCTATTCCCTACCAGTACTGGTGCATGCCTTCAGTCCCGACCCAGCCAGCGAGTTTGGCCTCTACTGGCTCAGCGGTATCTCGATGCTTCCCCCATCTACCAGAGGCGTTAGAGACTACTGTTGGGCGGGAAATGTCCTGAATTTGGCTCAGTGGTCCCCGTTAGGACATGAGGTTCTTTTACGTGCCGTAAAGCTAGGACACGGGACCCACGGCTTAAATCCCTTCCAGAGGACTTGTTCCCTGAATTTTTCTGCCCTTAAAAATTCCATGACCTCTGCTGGGTTTGAACCCGCATACCTTCAGTCACGAGGTGGGACCATTACCCCTAGACTACGGAGGCTGCTGTCACATCTCTTAACTGCTATTGTTTGGACAGTTGTGAGTAGAAATAATTAAAGAGAAAGAGTGAGTAGGTATTTCTGTACAGTTTGTTTTGTAGGCAACCTTTACTAAAATATGATTTTTTAGACATCAGCACCATTTTGTACACACTGTTATTTTATCTTGTTCACTATTACAATATACAAGTAGCCCTCATTCCAGAACTTCTCAAGTTATTGATGTAGGTGCTTATAATGAAGTTTGTTTTGACAATTCCCCATTAAATTTTTAACAGAATTTATGACTATCAATTTCTAATTTATCATTTCTGGTACCTTTCTGTAAAGGTGGAAGGATATTAAAGGGCTGTAGGTGTCATAAGTGCCGATCACAGTGGCTGCATGGTCTAACGCATGAACAGTCTTCACCCACTCATTCATTTTTTTCATTCATTCATTCATTCATTCATTTATTCACATTCCATGGATCCCTATATGGCTGGACGACCAGTGGATATAAAAACAGTCAAAGAGAACAGATAAATTTCATCAATTATATAGATCAAAATTAATTATACTTAATTCATAACAATTACACATGTTATCCAAGACAAATCACAATGAGTAAATCGTTAAACAGTTATAAAATATATATGTAAAAGCATGCAACATATTAATATGAAACAAGACTACAATAATCAAACATAAAAATATACTAATAGGCATCCAGTGTATAACACACCAAGATTGTTAATTAATATTGAAGTTAAAATATTCTTCCAATGAGTAAAATGAAATTAACCCAAGAAATTTGGTACTAGTATATTTAGCAACCTGACTGTTACCATAGTCAATATGCATATCCACTGGATAGCTATTCTTAGTCAAGAATTGTAGAAAGTATGCTTTATCGAAATTTAGTGTCAATTAATTAGCTTTAAACCAATCATTCATGTTTTTAAATAATTGAATAATGTCGTTTTCATAACCTAAAAGGCCAGAAATCCTGAAAATTATGCTGGTGTCATCTGTAAAAAGATCAGGTTTGGATTTACTAATTATTATGCCTGGCAAGTCATTTATGTATAAAAGATACAATACAGGTCCCAGAATCGATCCCTGGGGAACACCATTATTAACTTTGGCAATCCAGAATGAACATGCCAATTACTGATTAAAACTCTCTGGGATCTATCTTTGAGGTAGGATTTTACCAAAGCATTCGCCTTACCAACTATTCCATAAAACACTGGGATCGTGGGTTTGAATCCCACTTGAGGCATGGATGTCTGTGTGCGTTTATTCTGTTTGTGCCGCCCTGTGCGCGCAAGTAGCAGCCTTGCAATGGGCTGATCCCCCATCCAAAGAGTCCTATTGACTATGTAAATGATCAAGAAACTGAAAAGTGGCAAGGGCCAACAAAGGGCCGCAAGTTTTCTTCATAATGTCTACCTTAATGAAAAGTACAAACCTTCTCAGGATGTACCAGAGCAAATCTCGCCAGCACGTTGCCACCAGCGCCCACACCAAAACCAATTATGCTCTTGAGGAGGAAGTGTGACATGACAAAGTTGATCTGCTCTGCCAGTTCATCCATTGTGGGATACACATGGCTGTGGACAAGAGAAATGCAGTACTTATTTCTCTGACCAATTTTGATCTTACAACCTCATAACGGTAGAGGACCAAGTTCAGACTACAGTGTACTACTAATTATGAACCACTGGGGAAGATGGGCGCAGGCAAATCTCTGTATTCATGACAGGTAGGTGTGTGTGTGTGTGTGTACGTCTGATCCTAGTCCTTTTGAGGCTGAAATTGCTATGGCAAAGTTGAAATGGTATAAATCTCCAGGTAGTGATCACAAGTGGGGAAGAAGAGCAATGCACATAGGATATTGGTGGGAAGGACTGATGGAAAGAGACCACTAAGAAGACCAAGATGTAAGTGGGTGGATAATATTAAAATGGATCTTAGACGGATAGGATGGGGTGGTGTGGACTGGATCGCTCTGACTCAGGATAGGAATCAGCGGAGGGCTCTTATGAACATGGTAATGAACTTTTGGGTTCCATAAAATACTGGGAAATACTTGAGTAACTGCAAAATTGGTGACTTCTCAAGAAACGCTCAGCTCCATGAAGTTAGTTATATAGTATCGTTCTTTTTGGTAACTTGAGCCTCATTTTGTGTTTGTAAGAACATTTCAAGGAAATGGGCTGCGCCCCTTTGTGACCTGCAGCTGAACACTTTTCTCCTCTTGGTACGAAAACCGGTGAAGTGGAGAAGAAGGTTGGTTTTACAGTTCCTTTAAGCAAAGCAATTTTAAGTTTAAATCTTGAGTAACACACATCTGTGTCCCCGCTGCTGCGTAGATATGAACTGTACTTGCTTTCGTCATGGCTCTCTTCAAACCATGCAACCCTTCTGCTATCCGGTTAGCTCGCCGTTTTGCCATGCTACAACAGACGCTGTCACATGAAATATATCTGTGTGTAAACACGTTTATAGTTGCTAAGAGACATATGATTAGCAAGTCAATAATGTACCTGCTGTAAATTATGTTAGTTTACCTGCACAAATACGGTCTGATGTGGCCTACACGTTATGAAAGCGGCGAACTGAAAATCAGGGCTCGGAAGAAAGAACCTGTGTTGTTGCCTCATCTAAGAAATGGTCATTTTAATACAAGGACATTTTCCATTTGTGCAATTCAAAGAATAGTCAAGAGGAGTACTCCATGAAGTACACATATTTTACAACTGCATTTGCGATTGTCATTTATTGAGTGTTACAGAACAAAGTGTTTCCGGATTCTCTAGTGACTTGTATGATGAGTCATTACATTGCATATAATTTTTGACTGGCACTGTCCAATCTCCGATCCAAGTTTGATAGGCTGATACACAACACTTTTGGGGGTGGCTCTAATATATTTTCCATGCGTTTTGTTTCATTCCATTAATTGATATATCTACTGCTTCTTAATCTTTACGATCCTAGTAACAGTGGGTACTGGACCCGAAAGGCTCTGAGCTTCAATGGCAACCATAAACCGTTGAGGTAACAGTAAGCGGTAACAACTGACCACTTAAAGATGGAAGCAGAGCAAACCCCAGAGGTGTCAGATATGTGCATACATCACAGAATAGACAATGTTTAACATAATTGCAGCGTAAAAGATTCCCTCCGAAATATTAAAATGACGTTTAGGGTGTGAACTACAAAGCTCTGTTCTGAAAGCAAACAATGGTTTGTTTGTTACAGACTTTGTACGCTTTCTTTACTTCGCGTAATGAATGAATGAATGAAGGTCTGACGTATCTCTTGTCTCTTGCATACAAAATGTTCCTTTTTATGCATATTCAAGTACTTCTTTGTTATGAAAAACATGCTATAATTCGTGTGTCGTGAAACTGGAAAACATCATCTTTTACAAGGCTACCTTCTGCAACTGAAGGTTCCTCGCACATCTATGTCACTGCTTTCGCAATGAACTCGGTACTACAATCTATCTTTTTGAACGTCCTGTCACAGTCCGAATGCACTGTTAATATTGCAGCACTCTTCTGCATAGAATCCCGTTGCAGAGTAATAATTTCTCAGTAGCTTTAGGCTGAACGAGGTAGTTTATATATAGCCCAGCATTAACAATGCCTGGTCTGAATATCAGGATGGATTCTGAAATGAATTTATTAAACTTTGGGTGGAGATTTATGACATAATAATTGCAGTGTGGTGTATTTCACCTTATTTTATTATGCCACTACCTACATTAAACTCCGTCTAACAGGATGGTTAATGAATAATGAATTGGAAAGGATATGGAAGACGCAGCCGTTTCTTGACCGATATACTATCCCGTTATTTGCCTGGAGTTATTGAGTAAAATATGAAAGTCCTCAGTCGGGGCAGCCAGTGTCTCGGCCAAGGTTCAAAACGAGCACCTCCCGAACATACAGCGCTACACCAGCCCGCTTGGTCAGCATAATAATGTCTCGATCTAAGAATGAGGAGTATTACAAACAAAACAAACTCCGTGGCTTGAGTCTGCAAGCGAACTATACCGACCGAGCGACCGCCGCTTGTCATCGAAGTTAGTGCCAACTTTAGCAGACAGAGGGTGTCGCGTGGGTGAGGAGTATTACAATGAATAAAATCCCATAACGTGGAACATAATATGTACTCTTCATCAATATTACTAAAGCAATTACATCAAGAAGGATATAATGCATATAACAATTCTTGTCGGTAAACCTGAACGGAAGAGATCTTGGAAATGTAGTCCAAGTTCAGGTCACATTGCGACTGATGGTCAGTCAGTCAGTCAGTCAGTCAGTCAGTAAGTCTTGGTATCGAGCCCCACCAGATATTTATTACTGTTTGGCAGTTACGGTCTTGTTTTTGTGGGGCGCCCTCTCTGACGAGAGGAGGGGTCTGCCTTTTGTATATGCTGCTGGCTCTTGCCAGCGCACTGGACACGTAGACGTAGATGGGAGAATAATATTGAAGAGGTACGGTAAAGTTGTCCCTGTAGTTAAGCACCATGCCATAAAGACGTGTGAGGGGGGTAAGGTGTAGCCCTGCCGCGTTCCTAACCTTGGCACTAGAGGGAGGTATATGGATGGTCTATTAGTTGTCAGCGGCCTCCGTAGTCTAGGGGTAACGTTCCCACCTCGTGACTCAAGGTACGCGGGTTCAAAACCGGCGGAGGTCGTGGAATTTTTAAGGGCGGAAAAATTCAGGGAACAAGTCCTCCGGGAGGGATTTTAAGCCTCATGTCTCAAGGGGACCTCTGAGCCAAATTCAGGACATTTCCCGCCCAACCGTAGTCTCTAACGCCTCTGGTAGATGAGGGAACCATCGAGATACCGCTGAGCCAGTAGAGGCCGAACTCGCTGGCTGAGTAGGGATTGATGGCACGCACCAGTACCGGTAGGGTATAGGGACTGGTAGAATATCACAGGGGGACGCACAATGGACCAACATTTGGTCTAAGTGCATGGGGAAACCCACCCTCTCCAATAACAACAACAATAACAACCACTGATTGGTCCAATATAATCCCTACTTTTCATAAACCTCACAGAGAGCTCAAACACTTTTTAAAAAGACTCATCATGCAAATAATTACTACATGACATACAGTGTAGCTCTCAACAACTAATTTTGTTGTTGTTGTTGTTTTGTGGGGTGGAGTGAGAATGAGTCTTGCCGGTACGTCGGCCACTAAGAGGCCTACTGTAGCAGTCCCGGATGGCACATGAATATGGAGCATTTGGTGGAACGAGAAGTGACAGGGGAAACCGAAGTAATCGAAGAAAACCTGTCCTAGTGCCACTTTGTCCACCACAAATTCCAGATGGTTTGACCTGAGCTCGAACCCGGACCGCCGCGGTGGGAATCTGGCGACAACCACCTGACCTATGGCACGGCCATTATTTTCATTCACTTAGCGACGCTGTCAGCAGCTAAGGCCACACAGCGTCGAAAGATGGGACGATCAGTGTATGAACTGGAAATAAATTGGAAGCAAGGAAACGATCGTTGGGGACTGGATGGGCCTCGGTGCAGCGCAGAACATAAAGAATCTCCATCCTTGCTGCAAATTGAACCCTGGTTCTCCGATGGTTCAGCCTGTAGCCGAGTCACTATACTGGCTCAACTTCCTCGACTCCGGGCAGCGAAGATCGCGTGAAATATCCTGTGAAGCCATTGTACAAGTTCCGCTTTAGGAGAGGGTTTCCTTTATGGTTAATGGCTTGTTTTGTGATGAGACTAGAAGGGACGCTAATGAGACCTCTCCACATTAATGTGCAAGAAATGGATCACAAATAATGTGAAAACTACGGACATCGGGGGAACGTTAACTCCATTAAGGTCTGCGCACTGGGGCAATTATTCACACCCTTTAATGTCATTCTGTAGCAGAGACAAAAGATGTTCCAGTCTTGCAGTAGCATTTCGTAACGAGGAGGAAAACACGACGTAATTTCGTCATGTCGGCTGCGTTCTCTGAGAACAGAGTTCGACGACCTTTGAAACCGCAATTTTATAATGAAATATGGGATCAAAGAGCCCCATATACCCACTGTGTAAGAGGCTAGGTGGGCCATGGAAGCTGTGAAGAAGAGAAAAATTTCTTGCGCTTACCAGGAATCGAACCCCGGCCGTCCAGCTCGCAGTCCGTCGCTATACCGACTGAGCTATATTGGCCTGTTGTTAAACAACCCTAATCAATTATTTCAGTTTACTAGTAACATGTACTGGAAGGTAAGAAGAGTTAAGACATGTGTCCAGGAAGTGAGTGCAGGCATAGCCTTGGCACTATTCAGTACAGATATGCGCGGTCAGCTTCTCCCAAGGATATATTTCCCAGTATGAACCGAATGTCAGGCTGAATAGGCCCCACAACCGGGCTGGACATGAAAGAAAAATTCGTATCTCTGATGAGACACGAATCTCCACTGTCCGTCAGTTACTTCACTGATTAGGCCGCACGCGGGACATGTGGAATGCAAGCAAAACACATACATCCAATTTTGGACAGGGTCCAACTAACTGATTCCAAGTCTCTCTCTGGTGAACATGCCCACTTTATACCGGGAACGCA